TCTGTATGACACAGAAACATAGAGGCTATCGTAGAATACGTCTAATGTAGAATGATAACTTTTTGAGACAAAAGTTCCTTGTTGAATTTTTGGTCCTCTGCGAGTTGACGACAGCCTTCGAATTCAAATAAGGCACGTGCAATACGGGTATTTCTGACGGGTTTTGCTAGTTTGGTTATATCATTAGGATAAATAACCATGCTTCATAGGAAAATTTGTTGTAAACAACAATCAGAGGTAAAATACAAAAGGGAAGACTAAGTAATTGAAATTGATGAAGTATTAATCACATTAATCACATTCCAGTCTTGAGGTTAGAGAAGGTACGCATTTCTGGAAAGAAATGCTACTTTATGACGATGCTTGAAAACTTATTTTTAGGGTCAGTTAAATAAGTTAATAAATACTAAGAGTAACCATTTTTTTTAAGACTAAGAGTCTATTCTACTTATTTTAATAAAATATTGAAGAAGTGGAACTTATTATTATTAATATCGGTATATACTTATTTCACCTACTCACCTACCAGGATTAATTTTCATCTAAATTTTTCGAAAAATAGGCAATAATTATTCTTTTTTAAAACTAATCTACTTTCTGAGATTTCTTCTCATTTATTCTCTTCTGATAGTATTTCTTTTATTGTTATCTAAACCAGTTTCTGGGAAAAGAAATCACTATATTTTATTATTTTCATTTGTGCGAATCTATTTTATTATCTAACTGTTTTTATATCTATTTATTTCATAAAAGACTCTCTAAGAAAGAGAACTGTGTTTGAAATTTATATTGAATCGTTCGATTATGTAGAAAAGATGATCCTATAATGTAGGAACGTTATACACACCTAAATAATATTATTTATTAACTTTAAAAGCCTCTATCTTTTTTTTCTTTCCCTCTTCTCCTTCTTCTACATCTTCTTCTTCTTTTTATTTTTTTTTTTTTTGTTTTTTGTACTTATTTAGTCATAACTAACCGGATGTGATCTATGAGACTAATGAAGGTCCACACGCAGTGAAAGCGCCTGAAGAGACATACGTCTTTCTTGTTTTTCTTCTTCTTTTTCTCCTTCTTCTTTTTCTTCTTATTCTTCCTTTTCATCCTTTTTTTCTTCTTTTTTCTGTTTTTTTAGCCATAACTAATACTTATTTAGTCATAACTAAGCGGATTTGATCTACGAGATTGATGAAGGTGCACACGCAGTGAAAGCGCCTGAAGAGAAATACTCCGTTTATTAACTTTAATAACCTCATTCTTCTTCTACGTCTTCTTTTTCTTCTTCTTCTTTTTGTTCTTATTATTCTTATTTATACTCTTTTTTTTCTTTTTTTTTTCTTTTTTTAGCCATAACTAATATTTATGTAGCTATAACTAACCGGATTTGATCTACGAGACTAGTGAAGACAGGCACGCAATGGAAGCGCCTGGAGAAACATAGTCTATTTATCAACTTTAACAGCCTCTTCTTCTTTTTCTTCTTCTACTTCGTCTTCTTCCTCTTTTTTTCTTTTTCTTCTTTTTCTTCTTCTTTTTATTCTTATTTCTTTTTCTCTTCTGAAGGCGCGTACGCAGTGGAAAGATATACTCCGTTAGGTCGAATTTCGGTAACTATTTAAATCTACTACACTCTAATTACACTGTTTCTTCTCTTCTCATATTACTTGATTGGAAACTCCCTTGTTCAGCTTGGGCTGACCTCACCATTAACAGTTATATCAAAAAAAGTGTTCTTAAAGTAACTAATTAATCTTTTATTTAATATTATTTAAAAGTTTTTATAGATTAATAATAAAATTTTTTAAGAATATTATACTGAATGATAATCTTATTCTTTTCTAAATATTTTATTTTTAGAAAATCTAAAAAAAACTAAATCTCTAAAATATCTTTAAAACTAAATTAAATATTTCAGGTTACATTACTTGTCCCATTTCAATTACTACCAACCAACACCTGTTGTTCAGCCACACCAACTTGCAACATGTTGCACCTTCGCCAACTTACACGAATTTGCATTTTATTAGACGTCGTTCGTGGTATTGTCTATGCTCGTCCATCAAAATGGAATGCTCTCATTGATATACACCAGAGACTGACTAGGATGTTAGCACTGAGATTTTGCATAATCAATGCAAATCCCTAATATAAACATTTTAATTGAAAATATGCGCATTTACCCGCTACTCTATCGTTCCACGCAACACTGCACGGAATTCATTTCGTTTAAGTTTGCTATTTTAGTTCCATTGTTGAGCAATTTCGTTTGAAGAAGCTTTTGTTCTTCCTGCAGTAAGCGGACATATCTAAGCACATACCAGCTACATACGTACAAGCACAGGACATGCAAACAATCTTGTACGTTATTAGTCCTTTAGTCGTTTGGTTGAGTGACACTCAAGTATAACCAACAATTTTATTTAAGGACAATTCACTTTTTTGTTTACCGGAAATACTTGTATGCTTGTCTGCTTGGGTGCCCCCAAGAATGTTGCAACCGGAAATGCTACTCGAGTCAAGTGGAAAATTCTCTACAAATGCGTTATAATTCGTTACTAAATTAAAATAAAGTACTTTAAGTAAATAAATTCATATAATGGAATTAAAATAAACATTTTATATTAAAATTTATATTAGATATTGAAGCTTTTATTTATTGCATGTGAGAAATTATCAGAATGAAAATGATTTTAAATAAATATTTAACTTTTTAGCAAAGGAATATGCTGAGACCTTTTAATGTTCGAAAAATAATTTATTTTATTAAATTCAGAAAAGATTTAACTTGAAAAAATTCATTATATATAGAAAAAAATGGTCCGAAATATTTTAAGTGACTTTACCCCCAAAATTCTTATTGTACATGCCAAAGAGACCCTACAGTGGTCTTTATTTTGTCCTATAAGTTGGGTGTTACTGCCTCGCTTCGGCTACTGAATCATTATAGTATCAGTAGCTGCAAAGTGTGTCCTATGCAACAAGAACCCCGATGTATGTTAAGTCTCGTAATCTTCTCGGATAGCCAAGCTATACACAATTAAATCTCTGCCACAGCTACAGCTGAATCCTTAACAGTTTAATAAGTCCAAAGTTTTCTTAACGAGCAAACTAAGCATATAAGTGCTTAGCTCACACGGGTACCTGGAATCAGGGACAACTTGTGCAGCTGCAGAGCAAATTAGCAAGCAATCTGCTCTCTATCATTCATTTATGGGATATTGATATCTTACTTGCAACACACCCAAGCTAGCAATTTAAAACAAATATAAAATTAAAGGACAAATGAAAATTCCTGTCAGATCTTAAGATTGACCTTGTCCAAACTGGACAAGAAATGTACCTGTCAATCACTTACCTGCACAGCACTACAGTATCAGTGATTACATGTCACTTATTATGAGGAGGAAATGCTATGTTACTAAGACTATCCTATGCAGACAATTGTCGGAGTTATGGCTCTGCAGCGGAGGAGAACACTGCCTTAGGTTTTACTGGCTATAATTTGCTAAAAAAAGATTCAAAATCTTCAGTGCCCTCTTTCTTACCGACCTGACAGAACTGACATACTACAAAATTAGGAACTTGACCAAGTTTATAGACTTCTCAAGTTGGTTTACTGTCGATGAGAGAACCATGCTTTTAGCATTGTTTATATGTTAAACAGTAAAGTATGAACAACGCTAATTCAAGGTATCATAACGGGCCATTATTTAAATTCAAGTTGGTTTTGATGCTCAATGCCGCCACTCCAACCTGGAATGAGAATAAATCTTATCTCTACTTATCTCATTTACTTTAGACACTAAAGAATTTTTTGTTGTAATCTGTGACTTCAATTATTTTTACAATGATCTATTCCGTTTGAATTGCTGCTGGAATATGGCAACATAATTTTTTAATGTATAATTTCTTTGCAAACACTTCTAAAAGGACAACGGTAGGCGAGCTGTTAAGGCTCAGAAACTTTTTTTTACGTACAACCTATTCCAACAAAACCTATTAGGTACAACAAAATATTAAAATTAGCTATCGATTCCGTTTTGCTTGGGACAGATAAGCCTAATTCTATATATAATTCTTTTGCTTACAAATATAAGTTTAGTAATTCATCTTCTAAATAACGCTACAAACCTTATCTACTAAACAATAATTTTAACATTATTATAATCATAAAGATATTTTTAGAAAATTTAAAATTTTGACCCAATAAATTAAATAAAAAGTACATTTTAATTATAAATATTTTTTATTAAATATAAATTAAATCTCCCATTTCAGTAATAAAGTATAACTTAACAAATAATTTAACTTAAATTTAAATACATTTATTATGATTTTATTAACTAATAAATATTTTGAACAGAGTATTTTTTGAATAAACTAATTTGAACTATTGTATTTTGTTTTAGCAATTTATTTATAAATAAATTCAAATAAATACTTTAAATAATAAATCAAGAAGAAATTAAATATAGTAAATACTTTGAAACAGAAATATTAAGAAAATATTAATGCAAGTAAATTGTTGAATGTGTAAATAATTTAATTAATAATAGTAATACCGATATTACTTGGTTTTGTAATTGACATTGAATGTCGTTGATCTAAGACGAATTGCTTACAGTTTCTTATTTACAATTGTAATAAAAAAAAAATTTATTTCAATTGTTAATTGTTTTTAAATATGATTTTATGAAAAAACATTAAATAACAGAACTAATATGAATTATATATACAACAATGTTATGATATCAGTTACATAATGTTTAACCCTTCTGTTATTATACGAATATTAAATAACTTATATATTAAATTACACTTACACCTACACTCTTCCTATATATTAATACGATATTTAAATTAGTTACATTTTTTCCTATAACATAAATTTTCTTCAGAATACAGTAAGTTTTTTAGTTACTCTCTTTAATTAAAAAATAGTAACTATAAAATAGTTAAAATAAGAAATATAATTAGCAAATTAAAATTCGTAAAACATCTATTTAATTTCCTTATTCAAGTTATATTTTACAAATATTTGATTGTTACAACGCAAATATTTAGAATTTAGATTTTACTAAGCAATACGATTACGAAGATAAAATTTCAATAATTTTATGCATACAGCAGCATCTTCAGCACTGTTATGTCCATGCTCTGAAAGACAACAAAAAAAAAGTACAATTAAATATCATTTAGTATATAACATAACCGTTGAAGTCTACTTACCACTTTCTTGAATTATTAGCTTTAAGAATTCAATACACAGCGTTTTAAGCGCACGTTTCTTTGGTGGTCCCATTCGATGCGGAAATAAAATCGATGTATCTACCACTGAGCTATGTATTATTTTTAATGCCTTTAAATCACTTTCCAAACTGTGACCCACAAGTATCGATTTAGAATGTATCATCGACAGCAATACCGCTTGCACATTGATTAATTTACAAGTGACATTAGATAGCATGCTCTCTGTTATGCCAGAATAACTTAATAAATAATTAAATATAAATATTTTTATTAAATAAACAATTTGTTATTAGATTAAATTAATTAAATTAATTTAGTTCGAATTCGAATTTAGTTTTTCACTTACACTGTATTATAATCAATAATTTTATTATCGGGTTTAACTAGTGAATCATAAGCAATATCACCATTGATATCTACGACGGTTATACGTGTTAATTCAATGCCTTCAGTTGTGTAGCACATCTCACAATCGAGTGCATATATATCATTCTTTTTATATACATAACTAGGATCTTTGTCCATAGTAGTAACATAACCTTTCAATATGTTATTCTGCGTATTATCTGTGACGTGATAATTTGCATACGAACAACCAGGTGAGTTCATCGAATTCTGACAGCAACGATACAAACTTTCTGTAAAATCTAAAAGTAAACACATAAAAGTAAAATACATAAAAAATAAGTATATTTTATACAGTAAAAATACTTACTGTTAAACCGACCGATACCCTTCGCATGGTAATTGCATTCGTCGACACATTGTTCATCGTACATATTTATATTGAAAAGTTTGCCGCAACGACTACATAAACGTTCATATTGGGAAACATAATTCTTTTTGGCTCTAATCAAATTTATTTTAGCCATGCCCGCGCGTTCACCTGGTCGCGGAAAACCATTTTGTTCCAATTGCTCTTCAGTCAGTATTAAACCATAAACCATATCATAAGCAGCCACATCGCTTAAATTATCGAATGGCTCCTCACTAGAGTCTAATTTCTTTATCCTACATAAAGATAACTTGTGTTATAATATTCCCATCCTATTCATAGTCAATAGTGTACTTACGGTTTCTTCTGTAAGCTCCACCTCCTATCCAAGGATAATTTACCTGCTAAGTTCACTTCATGTGACTCCAATTTTGCTGTTTCAGGTTTATTGCCTGAGTCTGTAAAAGTAAAGTATATGCAATTTTTCATTTTTCGTCTACTTTACATTAAGAATGTTCCGTTTGTGGTATAAGCACGACGTGAAAACTTCTATTACTAACTAATATTGTATTTTTTCACTTTCAGTTTGATTTTATGGTACTTCAGGACTTTTAAGACTGACATATAGTAATCATATACTTAATTTTTATTATTTTTAATTGAAGTGACTAATGATTTAACTAATATTGCGTAATTGAATAATATGTAATCCGAACATTTTATTTTTACTTTAAATACTTATTTTAGTTACCATTGAGTTTATTTTTTATATTTTTTGAATACTTACTTGCAGCCTCCTTTTTTAATTTATTAATTGCCAATGAGCAACTACTTTTGTACGTAATCGGTGTATTACATTTCTTAAAAACCGTAATCTCTTCCGTTTGTGCCTGCAGAAATCATATAAAACCATTGAATATAAATCAAAATATTAACTATATATATAATTTGTTTTTTCAACTCACTCTAACATAAGCATCTGCTAGATTGGGATATATAACTTTACAATGGGCCACCATCATAGTGTAGTACTGCATACGTAAATTATAGGATATTTTTGACGAGTTTGCTTCCAATACTGGTGGTGCGGGTTCAGTTTTCTACAATTAAATAAGATATTAGAATAAAATAAAATTTATAATTTACAAGTTGTATGTCCTATAACAAGAAATGTATAGAACTCAAATAAATCTAATAAAATATACTACTCTATGGGCCTATTTACACTATCATGAACAGGAACATGAACTTGAAAACCGGTTGCGATGTGAAGTGTGATGTGAAGTTCATGAATTTCACGCAATGAAATTTGCTGCGTTTCTTCAGCTTGACACGCATACATATGCAATGTTATGTTTATGTTGACCTTTTAATGCTAAATACTCTGAATTTCTGTGCTCTACACCACTAAACACAAGCATTTTATACGTTTACAAAAACAAAACAAATTTCACGCTCATGAGAGTTCCTGATAGTGTAAACTGAACTGACAGTTCATGTTGTCGTCAAGTTCATCTCACGTTCATGATAGTGTAAATAGGCCCTATAGTTAATAATCGACTTCGATTTTGTTGGACTTATATAGTTGTTATAATAAAGAGCTTCAATATATATTTGAATGTATAACTTTTAATAATATATGCATACAAACCTGTTCAGGTGTAGGTCGATGAGCTACTCTTGAGCCGCCTCTAGTGGTTTGTGCTTGTGTAAATGCTTGTTTTCTTTGTGATTTAAGTTCTTCGATTTTCTTTTTAGCACGCTCTATAGCAATTATACTCGAGACAGGTGCAATAGTTCTCGCTAAAAATACAAAAAATTACAAAACTTAAAAACTCAAAATTATAGTAGATGAAATAGTGGGCAGAGACATATTTTTCAATAAATTGGGTCTAATCATATCGCTTCGACTAACAAACCATTGTAGTGTTTTTCAGGCAAAAGTAATGTCGATACACTGTGCTACTATTCCGTGGCAAGTATCACAATAAATCATTATTTAAACCCAAGTGGGCTTTGAGTACACGGTCCCCACTAAGCCAAACCAAATCTAAACTGTGCTCTATTACATCAGTACTTACATTTAGGCGGTTGTAAAGAACACGGCTTAATTAATGGTGTTAATTTCTCTTCCAGTTTGCCTAAATCGTTTGCAGACTTATTTGTGGTTGTTGGAACTTCAACACTTAATTGTGCCTTCGTTAAAGTTTCTTCTTCCTCTTTTTGATTCATTTTAGCTTCTAATTGGCGTTGATAAATAGCCTAAAATTAAAAATTAACAGTCGGCATTTATTTAAAATTCATTAAAAAACATACCCGCATAGCATTTTGTAAATGATCCGGTCTTTTATAAACCTTAGGACACAGTGATTTGCATTTCTCTGCATTTTCATATGCTACCCGCTTTTTGGATTTAGAAACTCCATCAATAACAGGATCTTCTACAGACGGTTTGCGTTTTAAACTGTTATCCGTTTTTTGGATTTTAGCTGTGTCTTCGCACAAACTTTTCATATTTTGTTCAATTTCATCAAATATGTTTTTGCATTGATCAGTTTCGTCTTCCTCTGAAATATCCAACTCCATATGAAGGTATTCTTTAGCTTTACATTGTTTATTTGGAGAAATATCATTTTCTGTTCTATCTTTATCTTTTGTTGTGTTTTTATCTGTGGATGAAGAATGTTTTGATTTTGATTTTGTTCTGGATGATTTTGATGAAGAAGAACTTCTGTGTTTTGACTCATCACCACTGTGATGTTTTCTACTACTACGATTCGGTGAGGAAGACTTGTGCTTTTTTCTAGAGGAAGATGAACGCGATGAAGGTTCTTCACGCCGTTTGCTGCTTTTATGCTTGCTATTGCTTTTAGAACTGATTGTATCTTTACTATCAGTTGAACTTTTATGTCTACTGTCTTGCGAACTTCTTTTATCTTGGGAGCTATGTCGTCGCCTACTACTGTGTGAAGATTTATGTTTATCTTTGGTGTGTGATGACGATGATTTTTCTTTAGTAATATTGTTTTTATTTTCTTTACTACTGCTGGATTCATTTGAACTTTGTTGAATTTCATTGTGTGATGTAATATCCTTACGTGTATCGTTTTTTATAATTTCTTTACTACAAGCAGACTCGTTTGCCTTACTTTTAGTTTCTGCAGTATCAGCTACATTATCATTTCGGGACACATTATCGTTTATATTTTCATTTTCCGCAATTAAAAGTGTTAATTCTTCCAATTCTTCTTCACATTCACTTAAATCGATTTGTTTATAATCTTTAATACCTGTTGGTGCTGGTGTGTACTTTGGAACATTCGCATCATTAAGTTTAACTTTTGTAGGAGAAGCATTTAAGTCAGGTTTTTCTGGATGGTATTCCAACTGATTGCTTTTCTTTTTAGTAACAAGTTCAGGTAATGCGAGTAATTTCGGTGTTGGAATGTAAACGGGGACTGGAGGTGGCGTTGTGTTTTCTTCTGTTGTATATATAAAAACAAACGTGAATAAGCGCTGCATAATATAAATATTGTATGTGTTTATATCTTTACCTGGACGCATATGCTTAAAATGACAAAAAGAGCGGTTGCAACTCTTTGGTCCACCGGTGAAGAATGGACAAACAAAGTCCTTAAACAGTCCCAATGAAGGTAGCATTTTAAACCAGTTATCTCAATTGTATTTGAAATGTATGAAAGTATATAATAAAGCATCAATTGTTCTTATCAAAAGAAACAAACATTTATTTACAAATAATATTACAATTTCGGACTCTTTTGTTTTTCATTTCCAATGAAGTGTCAAATTTCACAATAAGTGTAGAGCTGCCAAGGTCTTTCGTAGCATTTTTTTGTGTAGTGTGTTCAGTGAATGTAGTGAAACATACTTTTGACTTTAGCACTATTAACACATTTATTTACTAAAATAAATTTTGTTGGCTTTAGCTATAAAAAGAATAATACAGATTATTCTTCAGCTTAATTTTGCAAAGGGCTTCCTCAATGAAAAAGTTAATAAACTTCGAATTTTTAGGATTATTCGAGTTTAAACTTAGGTTGAGAAAGCATCTGCTAATATAACTGTCAGTCTTCCACTCAGCGAAATCGAGTTCAATTTTAAAACATATTTATTTTGCATCTTTCCCGTTTATTTTGTTGTTATCTGTGTGAAATAAAATTTAAGCTATTAATGTATGTATGTAAAGCATGATATAGACGTTGCTATATGTATGCACACCAAGTATGCAGACCAAGTATGAGCTTTGGTATATACTTTCAAACAAATATATACTTGGTTTGCCTACTTGTAGCATCAAATATATCAAGCTTAAGTCTTCATTTTGTGTCATTTGTAAAATATGTCAAATTTCGATAATATCCTTTTCCAGATCCATATTTTTTCAGGTTGCATTCAAAATTCCTTATTTTGGTTTATTTGTTCTTAAATAATTTATATGTATTTAAACATGTTTGTAAAGGAAATGAAATTTATTTGTAAACTTTGTGAGGAAATCTGATTCAAGGAAGTTATTGAATTATTGTTACCGTGTACGTAACAATAATTCAACATATGGGAAATTTTGATGTTTCGCATTCTGAATACTTTTACAAGATAGACAGCACACTTTTGAATTGAAATTATACAAAATATTCAATATATCCTTAAAACTTTTGATATATACAAATTAATTTAAATTAAGAAAATACCGTATATAATTAATTAAAATAGGATTGTTCGCATTTGCATCTCTTATCATCTGAAAATAGTATGTCTAATGTCAAAAAACATATATATTTACTAGTCATAAATATGTTGTGACCTGGTATTTATGAAGAATGTTGTAAATCTGCTTAAAATAAGCCTTTCCAAGTTTTTATCCAATTTAACATATCTGTGTTTGTAAATAAATATTAGGTCTGTTCCACGAGCTACACATAGTAAACCATGAGTAAAACAGAAGTAAAGTACAAACTGAGAGCGTAACACAAATAAAGTGCCAGATTACGCTCTTTACACAAATTTTCATGGAACAGCTTTGTGTAAAGTCTGGTGAAAACAGCTGTTTTTTGAAAAACAAAATAGTAGAAATAGAAATTGAAAAATAACAAACAAACACATTAATAATAAAATAATTAATATATTTTATTTATTTATTTTTAAACTTATTTTTATATATTACATATTATTATTATTAGGACACATTATGTTAAAAACATATTTACTTTTAATATTATAGTCTTTATGTTTAGTTAGAATTTAAAATTTATTTAAATAATGTAATTTTAAAGCTACTTTAAGATAGAATTAAGTATATATTTATAAAATGTGATGTTAATATGTTAATTAGAATTAAGTTCTTTATTGCAATATTAATAAAATTCATTAATGAAAAATAAGCAATATACAAATAAACACTTTAATCCAAGTTATTTTCTGTTTGTAATTCATTCCAAATCGAATGTCTAACGATACTTGATCTAAAAGGGATGTGGTTGTTGACATCATTATCTTCCTCAGATTGTTCTGAAAATGTGAATTCTAAGTCGTTTTCATTTGCAAGATTGTGCAAAACGAAACATGCTCTTATAAAGTGACACGGTTTTTCAACTCCTTTAAATTTACAGTAGTACAGCTGTCTAATACGTTGTTTTAAAATACAAAATGCATTTTCTATTAGTATTCGACCTGACCCCAATTTTCTATTGACATTCTTTTGTGCACGAGTAAGACACCCGCTGTCTTTATATGGCGTAATAATGTGTTGTGTACAGGGGTATGCGGAATCAGTCAGTAGATAGTATTCTGTAAACGTAAGAGGTTTCAATAAATCTTATATCTTTTTCCAAAGAACTTACCTCTACACTTCGATGGTAGTCGCATATAAATAAGCGAGTTTTGTAAGACCCAACTGTCATGACAGGAGCCTGAATATCCGACAAATATGCTAATAAATTTTCTGTTTTCATCACAGATGGCTTGCAAGCATAATGAAATATTTGCTTTTCTGTCAATGTAGTCGTCCTTACGATCTCTAGGAGAATCAATAGTTATACGAGTGCCATCTAGGCAACCTGCAAAGTAACATGTATTAATATATATGCAGCGGTTATATGCACATAAATCCTTACCTATAACTTTTGTGAAATTGCATAAGAATCGGAAAATTATCTTTCTTCTTCCTTTTTTGATGTGCTGGGCCATGCAATTATATCCGGCCACATGTTGCTAAAGATAGTTATCATCCTACTTATAACTCGGTTTACTGACGATAAAGAGAGATTAAAGCGATCTGATAAATCTCTAAAACAACATGCTTCGTGGCCAGCAAACCATAAAAAAACAGCAACGTGAGCTTCTGAAGAAATGTTCAGCTCACTTACTCGCAGTGCAATAAAGTCGGTACTATTTTGAAATTTTATAGCCAAAGAATTAAAAAGGCTCCGCGAAATGCGGAAATGAGTTTTGAATTCCTTGTCGTCATATTTGCAAACAACATCTTGTATATAATTTTTTATACACACACGTTTTCTTTTTTTTTTTATGTAATATCGAATACACCAATTCTATATTCTGGTTGTGTTGTGTTACTTAAATCACTTAATAAAATATTTATTATGTTTTTATCCATTTCAATATTTATTTATTACAGTTGTTACAATTAAAAATGCAGAATTTTTTAATATTCACAAATGCCGCGCAAACAAACAATACAAAAATTTGAATTCAAACCATAACAGCTGATTTACACATAAACACAAATTTTACTTCATATAAAATGCATGAGTAAAGTCTGTGTAACATTTTCAAATTTCGACAGGGATGTTACGCTCTCTCAGATGCTCTCATTTACTCACAAATTTGTTCGTGGAACGCAATTGTGTATACACAGTGTTACTCAAAGTTACTATGTGTAGCTCGTGGAACAGACCTATTTACTATAAGTTGATATTCAAAATCGTGAATATGATTTTGAATTGGTGTATATTTTCTTTATTATTTACAATGAGAAATAGGGACAATAAATATAGTATTTGTTTTTTTATTTATTTAGAATACTGTCGGAAATGAGCTGATTGAAACATTAAACAGAGAATGTGTTTAAGTGTTTAAAATGTGGTGAAAAATTAATGCAAAATCAAATATGGAGATATTCGGACAGCAGCTCAGCATCTGTTATTTTAGTTTCCGATATAATTTACTTGTGAATAGTTTTTTAGTTTGCATAATAGTTTTCATATATACATAATTAATGTTCGGCTAAATTATTGTATAAATATACCGCATGCTTTGAAGATTGGAACAGAGAAATGATATTAAAATATGTATTAAAAAAAGGATGATTGTTATAACTTTAGGTAAATATTGTAAATGATCTATACTCTTTATACAAATATGTAATAATAAACATCATTGCAATTTTATATAGGAACATTTCCTTCTAAATTTCAACACAATAGAGAAACATTTTCGTTAAACATTGTTATTGTTGGTAAACGCTGTCAGCCTAACACATTTTAAGGATTATAGTAGCGGAATGACGATGAAATTTGACATTTCAGATGAGTTATAGTGTGGTTCAGCAGCAACTGAATGCACATTACGGATATACCTCTTAAATTTGGCTACGTAGAGATGTTTATTACTAACGTCATTCTTTCGCCGTTTGCTTAAAAACCAAATTAAACAAAACAAAGTTTGTTAGATCTTTGTGCTGAATATCTATGGAAAGTTTGTTTGATCTATATGTTAAATTCCTATCTCCTGAGAATGATATATATATGTATATATTTTTTGTTCTATAAAGTAATGGAAGATACTAGAAACACTTAGTGCCTCTTTTTATTCGTTGGAGTGTTACGTTGTCAAGAAGCAAATTAGGCTCATCAATGAATATTATCAATTTTCTTTTTGAATAAACAATAAAATTTTTTATTGAGAGTATATTGACATTTCTGATTAAGTGCAATGATCAGATTTTCAATGTAGTTAACTTTTACATTGATTTAAAATACATGAAAAACTCCAATAAAAACGTAAAGTAGCACTTAAATGATGCGAATTAAATAAGTTTTTCTGTCTTATTCTACTCTCTACCAATAACATCCCATAATTTTTTTTATCATTGTTTTCTGTTTATATTTCTATTTATAATGTGTAGATTCGACTAGTTTAATATTTACAGATAGAATTTTTGCTGGACTTATAACAAATGTTTTATAAATATAAATAAATTTACTTAATTAAATTTACATTTTTAATTTGTATTTTAATTATAATTTAATATATTTACAGAAATACTTCAACTGCTGCCAATATGTGACTTGAGGAAAGAAATTTTGAAGTGGTGGTATGTGGTTAATCAAATATGTTTCGCCATCGAAACCTGCAGATTAATTTGTCTGCAAAGCGAAATAAAAATATTACTAAACAATTCCAAAAAGAAAGCAAATTTTCGTCAAAAGGTGAGATTTAAGCTTCATATTACTTCTGTTAAAAATTAATTTTATTAGAAATTGTTTTTATTCAGACAAGAAAACTTTAACAATTCTGGTAACCTTGGTTAAAACAAATAAATTATTTTTTGTCTTAATTTTGGTCGAATGGTATAATTTGCTCATAATTGTTTCTTCTCTCTAAATTATACCATTTGCTTTAAGAAATGTTTTTGAATCCAGTTTGTTTTGTTTTGTTGTTGCTTCACAACGTCGGGGTGAATTAATTAATTTTGTATGTTTTAAAAATATATTAAGTAATTTATAAGAAAATTAAAAAATATTAAATAATAATAATAAATTGAAACAATATCCTAATTTAAATACGAACTAAAGTAAACATTTTACTCATATTTACATTAAAAACTAATCAAGTGTCTGAGCACAAAGTTCAAGTTGTGACGTAGTTGTCCGGTGTTTCAATTATGTTAGTTTAGCATAATTATTCATTTAATATTTTTAAAATTTGTTAATATATCCATCTTAAGATTATTTCAAATACTTATTAATATATTAACAATGTTCATGTACTCTATTAATTTAAATTTCTTTGAACTGTATAATTATTATCTTATCAACTGTGTATTTAATTTATAAGTATATTTGCATGTAGTGGTTGTAAATTATATACTTTTTTATATAATGAATATCTTAATGAAAAAAATAAATAATTCCATGTAAAATATATATATATGTTTTTCACATTAATTGCAAACAATATTTTCTCTTATTTATTTACATTAAGCAAAGAACATAAAAACGGGATAATAATATATTAAGCAAGTTTTATATGTTTAAATTAATATCATTATAAGTGTTTTGTTTTCGTTATAGAGCCTTAAGATAAAAAACCATATCAATTTAATCATTCACATTTTCTAAGTTCACAGTTGTTCGATGTTTAGTAGTGTCCAAAACAGCTGCATGGTCAGCTTAAAATTCATCTAATTATTGTAATCAATATTCTTCATTACGAACAATTTTTCTATCATAAATAAAAACGTCTGTCGTTAAGCATTAATATTCAAAGTTTTTACCTGAAACTAAAGTAAATCATTGTAAATCTTTATACTATGTTCAGACCGCCAAATTTCCTAAATTTCGTAAAAATGAAATTAAGTTAATTTTAAAGGCGTTCATACTGCCCCAAATTAAGGAAATTATATGTTTTTTGTTTACAAATCAAATGTTAAAAATTACATGCTCCAAAAACCATTCGTCTCTGGGAAGTTTTAAAAGTTGATTATTATAACTATAAAGGATGGCATTCAGTAATTTTATTAGTTTCACTCTATTTTAAATTAATAACAATTACAGTTAAAAAAATGTCACCTTATCGTTATCTCAGTTTTATCTTTTGCTTAAAATTTATCTTACGCATAGTTGCATTTGAAATTTCAGCCTTCATTTCAACGAAATTAAGGCCAGTTTCCTTAATTTCATTCTGACCTCAAAACTGAATTTTGTATGGAAAACACAACTTAATTTCGCTGAATCGAAGATGAAATTAAGATTTTTGCAAAATTAAGATGTGTCTGAGCATAGTACTATACTTCATAGAAAAAAATATGCGTTATTAAATTACTTTAAAAAGCGCAAGCCTAAAATAATTACTTTATATGAAAAATGAATAAAACTAATTAATTATTTTTTTTTTATTTAGCTTTATTTTGCTTCATTTTAAATTTGTTGTATTACATAGAAATTTATAACAATTATATTATATATATATAAAGCTTACAGCTATGGCATTTCAACCGTCTGCCGGAATAATTAGTATATTAAAAGCTCATTTTTTCATATACTATACTTTTCCAATTAAATTACTCTTTGATTTTAAACATAAACGTATTTCTTCGGTAAGTACTTTCGTAATTTAAAAACATTTATTTAGTTTGCCGCTATAGCTTGCATCGTCAAGTTGATTAAGTGTTGTTAAGTGTCGATTAGTTTATTAAATATTTAATTAAATATTTTTATAATTACTTAAATCGGTAATATACATTTAATAATAAATTTCAAGTAGTGTACTTGGTGGATTAAAAATAAATACACTTCACGACATAAATAATTTCATTAACAAAAAATTAAAAATGCTTTTAAACATTTCTCAAATAAGAAATTTTACGAGTATATAATTTAATTTTCTCCACTTTTCCGGCATAAAATCGTTGACACAAATATATTGAATAAATATTAAACTACTTACATCATTAAGAATATGTTCATTTTATATAATTAAAATATTAATGAGTCTATTAAAAAAAGTTTTAATACACTTATCTAATAGTTACTTAACTACTAGTAACATAAATATGTCAATTATTAACAATTAATATATAATTCACTGGTAGAGTTTGCTCGCTTATGTACTTAACGTTTTCTTTTTCTGGGTGAAAATACCGTGCAAAAAACAAAGTATTATTTTTCTCTCATTTGATTCATCAACCGTTTCAGCAGTTAATTTGTAACAGCTGAGCTCAATTCTCAACCTGTTTTTTTCCTAATTATCTGGTTCTCCGGCAAAAGCAGGTTAAAGTTCAAAAATTAATGTTAAAAGGGTTAATCAACAATTTGTTATTCTAAGAGGTATAGATTTCGTGTCTCTAGCAAACTTACTACATATAAATAGATAAACATTTTTACTTTAAATGTTCTTCCCCAAATAACCTTCCTTTCATATCAAAAGTAGGATTTTTCAAATTTCTAGATCTCGTTTTTTTTCCACAAGATGTTCTTAAAAAACTTTTGGGAAAGGTTTTTCTTTTTAGAGGGATGTATAAAACAATTAATAGAATTTATTTTATTAAGTTTTATAAAAACCTAATACTTTCATAAAACTATTGAGGTAATATTCACTTTTCAATATGATTAAAGTAAATGAAGATACTATCATGAAACTTTAATAATTATTGATGTATGTTTAATAAGTAATTGGATTTTAATTGCATCTATTAATAAAAAGAAATAAAGTCATGTAAATCACAGTCATTTAAAATAATTTTTTTATATATGAAAATATGAAAAGTTTCTACTATGAAACATCGATTATTCGATTATGATATGACTATGAACAGCATTAGAAATGAAAATTAATTAATACTGCTGATATTTAATATATATGATATTCAAATAACGTATCAGATTTTTTTTAATACTTAATTATACCATTTAAACGTAATAATAGTCATTAACACTATGTTTTAAAAAACATTTTTTATAAAAATTTATAAAGTAACATAAAAAGTTGTTCCCATTTATATAAATAGAACAATTTACAATAATTGTTTTGTTCTGAGTTGCTAATCATGGAATCTACTATATATTATTACAACATTAAATACAGTGAGTGCAATATCGAAAACGGAGCCAAAAACCTGACATCCTAATCCTGATAATAAATTTCAATGAGAGTCGAAGTATAGAATATATTAAAAAGTATTAAACAAGCATTTAAATAAAAAAAAAGGTGACCTGTAGTCGGATATAAAATAAACAAAAAACATTATTAAGAAACCAGGTCCAAAAACATATTCAAAATTTAATATATTAAATACAAAATTAATAAAAGCAACGAACAAAACTGCTAGCGGCATTACTTACTGGATTTATTTTCATTTTGGTCTACCACTTCACAAGACATACAGCACAGGCTATCGAAAACGAAGCAAGCGTTTGGAACCCTTAACAAAATCTGGCGTTCATCCAACATCACACAACGCACTAAGATACACCTGTACAATGCAAACGTAAAATAAACTTTACTATATGGTAGTGAGAGTTGGAACCTAACGGCAAGAGACGCACAACAGCTACAAGCCTTTGTCAATCGCTGTCTACGACGCATCCTTCATGTATTCTGGCCAGCAACCATAACCAATAATGAGCTCTGGTTTAGAACGAATCAGCCTTTTATAACTGATGAAATAATGATGCGCAAATACAAATGGCTTGGCCATACGTTAAGAAAACCCGCTGATGATATCGCAAGAAATGTCTTAGATTTCAACCCTCAAGGCAGTAGAAGACCAGGGCGTCCGCTTGGAAACGACAAACTGAAGCCGAATTAAGAAATGCTGGAAAGAGCTGGAGTGAAACAAAACGTCTTGCATTAGATAGAGTTCAATGGAAACTATTTGTTACGGCCCTCTGTTCCACCTAGGAATAAAAGGATTAAATAATAAATAACTTCACAAATATAGTGTCACTGTAGTTCAATAATTAGCTTATGCTGTGTTCAGATACTAAAATCTTAATTTCATCTTCGCTTCAGCGAAATTAAGTTGTTTTTTCCATACATCCATACAAAATTCAGTTTTAAAGTTAGACCGAAATTAAGGAAAATTGCCGAAGGCTGAAATTAAAGGACATTTCAAATGCAACTAAGCGTAAGATAAATTTTAAGCAAGAGATAAAGTTAAGATAACGACAGAGTGATATTTTTTTTGAATAAATATCAATGCCAATTGACTTTAAAAAAAACGTAAAATATTATGAAAGTAGTGCAAATTTTTAAGTTTGAATATAGAAAAAAAAACTGTAATTGTTATTAATTTAAAAGAGAGTGAAAAATAATAATTCACATACTTGAAATTCACTAAAGCTAATAAAACAACTGAATGCCATACTTTATAGTTATAATAATCAACTTTTAAAATTTCCCAGAGACGAATGGTTTTTGGAGCATGTAATTTATAACATTCGATTTGTAAACAAAAAACATATGATTTCCTTAATTTGTGGCAGTATGAACGCCTTCGAAATTAACTTAATTTCATTTTGACGAAATTAAGGAAATTTGGTGGTCTCTACATAGTATAACAAAATATCAATTATTACAAATTCAGCTTTAATGGATAACTTACTATTTCGCTTTATCTAATTTTCTGAAGAAAATCTCTATATAAAATACCTCAATGTTAAAAAAAAGAGTATACAGTTTAACCCATTAAAACAAGCTATTACTGAACGAACATAATGATATATGTAAATAGCAGAAACTACTCGTTAAATTTGTAACTAATCGATGGTAATATAAATAGTAGCAAAAAAAGTGATATAGTCTCATGTATGGAGTGCTACATTAGAGATGTTAATTTTTTTAATCTTTTTCAAAGAAGTTATGAAAAAAATTCTTAAAAAATTAACTTACATCAATTAGTAGTAATATCTTATTATTACAAGCAAAATTACACTGCAAATAATTAAAAACATGTATAATTATAGTGATAAATTTCTCATAATTATAACGCAAACGTAGTGACCTAATAATAATATTATCAAGTATATCAACCTTAACAAGTTAATGATATCGTGAGTACTTTGGAACTTCGTCTCTAGTTAGTTAAATTTAAAAAAAAAATCAAATAAAAATCCAGCTAATCGCTTATATCGTTAATAAAATTTTAAAATCTGTTGGAATTGTACTTTTGACTAATCTTTGAATACAAAAAAGGCCAGAACATTTATTTGAATTTTTTACTTTCTTTGCTTCTTTCAATTTGTTTTTTATTAGTTTCAAATTTTAGTATAAATTAATTTCATTTTGAACTTTGTACCCCACTATTCCATATGTATTTTTGAAACTCATTTAAATTTATTTTGTATGATAATTGAGCGAATGAAATTAGCGAATTCACTTTACTAGTCACAATATGCGTGCGATAAAATTGTATCGTTGATATAATCTTATCAGATCATTCAAGCAATCCACACGATTAACTAATCATACATAATAAAGTACTTTTAAATTAATAGATTTAGCACAGTCTTAGTCTTTTTTTTTATTTATTAATAATATTTTTCTACATACACTACTTTCAGTTTGTTATTATTGACAGAGAGGCATGGATCGCGCTGGTATTTATTTTATTGATAAAGACGATGAAAACACTTACGATTTCGATGAAACATTACCACCTTTGCCATTACCGGACTTGAAGGATACATTGCAGCGCTACTATGAGACCCTGAAGCCATTCGGTACACCGGAAGAGTTGGCCAATTCACGTCAAGTGATAGAAAAATTTGAGAAGGGCATAGGCAAGGAATTACATGCGAAGTTAAAGCAACGCGCTTCAAAAATGAAGAATTGGTTGGATGAGTGGTGGGACTCGTATGGTTATCACATGCTACGTTTTCCATTGAATCCTTATATTGTTATGGCGATGCCTTTACGTTTAGAATTACTTGGTATACCAGAAACATCAGAGAATTTCCTAAAGGTAGTTATAAATTAAAATTTTTACTTGTTAACATAGTATGAAGTAATTAGACAATATTTTTATTTTAGAATTATGCACGAATCATATATCATACCGCCCAGTTTTGGGATCTGTTGCGTAAAGCAAAAATCAAGCCACTGTCTTCAAATGGTGGCAAAATCAAATATTCATCAGCGCTATATAAACGTTTCTTCTCCACAACACGTGTACCAGGTGTGGAAATAGATCATATTGAAGGACATTTCAAAATTGGTAAGTAAGTTTCACCTCAATTAGCATCCTCTTCAATGTTACGATATCTTCATAGTCTCTGAGGGTAAAACGCCTACACATGTGTTGATTAGTGGCAGGGGACGACTTTTTATGTTTGAATGCGTAGATGCCGATGATAATTTAATAACACCACAGCAAATACTTGTTATGCTGCAACGTGTACGCACCATCATAAATGTTGAACCTTTAGGAGACTGTGTACCAGTGTTGACGCATGACGAACGCACCACATGGGCTAATGTAAATATTATGACTATTTAGTCAAATGCATGACATAAATTGATCAATGCTTCATTACATTTTCATTTCATTTATATTTATCGGTTACTCATCAAACATAGTATAATAAAATAGAGTAGAATACAGAGTCCCCAGTTTTTTCACGTGATTACCTGTTATTAAAGATTGACACCACGGTTTTCTTAAGACGCGTATCAGTATAATGCGTCTATAAATGCCCTCATTGGAGTTCCACTGGTACCAATTGAAGATATATACTTGAATACAGGTAACTCCTTAGGAGTGAGCCAGATCCATCTAGCATCTCTGCTGTTCTTTGGGGCACAGCATTCGTATGTAGAATGTAACTCCAGAATGAATGACTGTAATAAATACAGTCATTCTGCCCCGTGACTTTACATATTAACCACAGCCACCACAATACTCCCATTAAAGAGGCCTCAATTAATCAACACAGCTCTGACCCTACATTACATTACATGACACTACAATACCAATTTTGCACCTCCGATCAGGTGCCGCTAATGAAACTCACTCACTGTTTATATTGCAAGCAGTATCGGGTGGTGCCTACCAGATGTTTGTCGTCTGCTACAACACGCATTCCTTACCTCGAAAATATTGTGACCCCTTTCCCTCGTAAGTGAAAACAGAGTACAGTAGTATACAGCAATAGAATTTATACAATAGAATTTAATTGAAATAATAAAATAGAATAGAAAAAGGCAAAATACTGCACTTCAATTGCGTTTTCGATTGGTAAATCTGAATTAAATCTAGATTTACTCTCAAACTGTCACATTTTGTTATCCAAGCGAACTTTTTTAAAGTAACCTAACATTTTTGTAGCAGTGTATATATATATATATATGTACTACATCGAAATCACTTTATTTATCAAGTCAGCTGTTAGTTTCAAGATAACCTTGCTACTCTGGCAAAATATCTAGAGTGTTTAAATTAATCTCAAGTGTTATATATTTCACTCGATCTTTACCAATTGAAAATGAGAATTACATTAAAAATGAATCTAGAAAAAATTACCCCAGATTTACCAATCAAAAACGGCTTAAATGAAGCAAAGCTGTTCTATATAATACTAAATCAAGCCACAACTAATCTTTATCAAAGAGATGACGTTCAATTTCGGATGAAATTCCGAATGTCCCTCATTTAGTAGTTTCTAAGAAATTCTCAGTTTCGAGTAGAGAAGATCTCGAGACAGTATTCTTCTTCTAACTCAGATTAAAGCCGGAATGTTACACAAAATGTTAGCACAACTCTCATCGCCCTGCAGTCAAGACAAACGACAATCGTTATCAGTTATTCTTAATAGAACAAAAACGTTTTTAATAAGTTAAAAATATAGTACATTGCACACATACTATCTAATCTAGGCCAGACTGAAACAAATATTTTTTTTTATCGATTTTATATATTATCATAATTTTGGCACCCAATTACTGATATAACTAATTAGTCAATTTATGCGATAAATATTTTTATGGACTTTGTATAATAATATTTTGATTTGATTATTAATAATTTTTATATATGTATATTGAATATATATATAGAATCGCCAGCAGTTGAAAGAACTTTCACCCGCTAATGCAGATACTTTAAAGTTAATTGAAAGTTCTAGTATTGTAATCGCACTTGATGAACATGAGCCCAGAAATTATGAGGAAGTGTCACAATTTGCGGTAACTGGTGATTTTCATTCGAAATGGGGAGATCGCAGTAGTACTTGTATTGGGTACAAGAATGGCCGATTTTCGCTCGTTGGTGAAGTAATGTATATGATTTTATTTTTTAAGCATGAATAATGAAATCTTTCTAGCATTCTTGCTACGATGGTACAGTCAGTGTGAGTTATGCATTATTTATACAATTAAGTTTATTTGAGGAGCCTGAACCAGATTGGTCATTAACAGAAACTGGTCCTTTGGTTGGCATAACAGAACTTAATTTTGATTTAAATGATACGCTGAAGCAGGAAATTAAACGTGTAATGGCAGATTGTGAACAAAGAGTATGTAATATGAGTTTTATTATATATTAAATATAAAACAGTCTTAACTGAGTGTATTTATATAGCGTACTGATGTTATTATTACACATGAAGTATTTGATGAATATGCTAAGGAGAATATAAAATCCTGGAAACTTCACCCGGATTCATTTGTGCAAGTTGTAGTGCAATTGGCTTATGCATTAATGCACGATGAGTAAGTTTAAAATTATGTAGGATCATATAATTCAGTTGTTAAGAGAGTGTATTATGTTATATCAAAAATCGAAAATGAGAAGCGAATGGCTCATTCTTGCATACAAAAATTCAAGCGCGAATGCGATCCATTTCATCACATTCTATATGAATGCGTCCCAATGACGTTCAAATGCATTCCAAATATGTTCCAAATACAATGAAATACATTGAACATACCCTTAATAAAAGCTTTTTCATAGCATTTTGACAGTTTGAGAAAGCTGTTTTTGTTTTTGTATTTACAAAAATAGGTAAGCAAATGTTTGGTGGTTGCATTTTCTTGAAAACGATGCACCTCCAACCAATGTAAATACTTTCAAATGGTTTATTCAAAATAAGCCATTTTCGGCCAGTGTAAACGCCATATTATACCATGTTTCCATTTTATCATTTCGACAGTTATGCTTATTAAGACCGCTAATGAGAATAATTTACTATACAAGAAGCTTTAATGAGCTCATTATAAATAAATCAAGTGATTTAAGGTGAAAAATGGCGACTCTTAAAAATAAATTTCCCACAAGGGAAATTACCAAAATTTGAAATATTGTCATATGCTTTATATGGTATATAAAATGTATACAAACAAGCTATTTCACTTGCATTATATGAAACATGATATAAGTCAAAATCTATTTAATTTCTAAGGCATGTATCTCTGTATTTGTTCAGGTTCAGTATGCTAAACCTTATTTAGTGAATGAGGCCTTATTAATAATTAAATTTTTTTTTTTTCATATGGAATAAATACAAAAATGTGTAGTATTATCACTTACCGAATAACGACCTAGCTCCTATCACCAGACCAAGCTTAAATAAAAAGACAAAAATTTCTTATGTTTATATTACGATGATAACAAATTAATCGCTAACTGATTATACACGAGTTATTAAAAATATTGTTTATTTTTATTATTAGATATAAATACTGTTTATAATTCTTTTTATATTAAAAATAAAACCTTCTACGTATATATTAATTGCAATTAATACATTTTTTAATAAATTTCAGAATTGCGCCCATATACGAAACAGCACTTATGCGTCACTATTACAATGGACGTACGGAAACTTTAAGATCGTGTACATCTGAAGTATATAAATTTCTTAAAACCTTCAGAAATCCAAAGTCAACTAACGCAGAAATTGTTAACGATTTCCGTAATGCTGTTGAACATCATAAATTTATGATGAATGAAGCTCGAAAAGGTCATGGCGTAGATCGACATTTATTCGGTTTATGGTGTATAGCCTATGAAAATAAAATAGATATCCCTGAATTCTATGAGGATCCATTATATGCAAAAAGTGGTGGTGGTGGTAATTTTGTACTATCTACTAGCACGCTGGGCTTTACGGCAAATGTTGGTTTTGTTGCGCCCATGACACTTGATGGGTATGGAGTATTCTATTCCATAACATCGGATGCGTATGTATTTGTTATTTATGAATTTAATAAGTTTTAATTATTAATTACTATTTAATAGTATTTATATCTCAACTACTGTATTGCGGGATAGTACTAAAACGAGCGCTCATAAATTTAATGCTACATTCATGGATACTTTCCGTAAAATAAGAACACTTCTGGACGATGCACAAAATTCAAAATTATAAATTACTGTTGGTAATTGAAGGTGTTACGGATTGAAATTAATATATCTTAATTTAAATGAATATAACAACGTTTTTATCTAAGTCAATGCATTGTATGTAAGTATGTATAAGCTATAAAGAAGTCATTTTTCTAAAGGTGCAATTATAAAATATATTTTTTATAATTTTTATTTTGTTTAATATAATTATTTTTTATATATTTTGTATTCTTATTATGTATAAAGATATATCGTAATAAAGGTTTTGTTTTACATTAATTTATATACAAAGATTGTGACTAAATTATTGAATTTGTTGGGGAAGTATATTCACGAAATTGAAAGATAAAAACATATAACCATAGAGACGCTATATGTTAAAGATATATAATCCATATAGTCTCTATATGTATATATAAAGATATATATGTATTCTCGATATATATATACTCTCGATGTATATATATTCTCGATACATATATACTCTCGATATATATATACTCTTTATATATACATATTCTCGATATATATATACTCTCGATATATATATACTCTCGATATATATATAATCTCGATATATATATACTCTTGATATATATACCCCTGATATACATATACTCTCGATATATATATATACTATCGATATATATATACTCTCGATATATATATACTCTCGATATATATATACTCGCGATATATATATACTCTCGATGTATATATATTCTCGATACATATATACTCTCGATATATATATACTCTTGATACATACATATTCTCGATATATATATACTCTCGATATATATATACTATCGATATATATTTACTCTCGATATATATATACTCTTGATATATATATACTCTCGATATATATATGCTCTCGACATATATATACTCTCGATATATATATATATATACTCTTGATATATATATATACTCTCGATATATATATGTACTCTTGATATATATACCCATGATATATATACTCTCGATATATATGTACTCTCGATATATATATACTCGCGATATATATATACTGTCGATATATACTCTCGATATATATATGTAAATACTCGACACGACAAATAAATAATCTCGCGTTTTATTAGATTGACTCAAAAAGTAAGTACTCATGCAAGTCAGCCATGGATCGAAAAAGTTATTTTTTTTAAAGTACTTTATATTTTATTTTATTGTATCTGAATACAATAGACCTAATAAATCGAAGACAAAGTATTATGTATTACAAAGTCCTGATTATATAATTTTAAAAAATTGAAAGTTCAACCAAAAATGCTATCCATAACATTGCCGAAATGTAAGTATTTATTTAAATTGAATGGATGAAATCGGTGACTACCATATGATACACCAAAAATGTCAAAACAACGCCATAGTCTTTTTTTTTGGAAAAGGTGAACGTCACTTGGACGTCGAAAGTGTTCCGATTGGCTCCCGGACGTATACCTGGTCGCTGCTGGAACCCAGATCAACCTCAAATAAAATTTCACCCATCCTCAATTTACTCTTGTTCCCAAACAATATCCTTCGCTTACACACTTCTATTACGCTACCGTATCCTAACCCATGTATACGTATTTACAATTCCTTTCATGTTATCTGCCATTTAGATTTTCACGGACTAATACAACAATAACCTTAATGATATTTTGTGAGCACTAATGATCAATCAGAATATGAATAAATAAAATATATGGTATTCCTACTTGAGACTTACAAGTCCACAAATTCCTTATGTATTTTAAAAAAATCGAATTAAAATTCATTGACTCTTCTCTTCATATATAATAAGAAAACTGGACTACTATAACGATAAGAATTTTTAATAACTAAGAACCTTTTTTTGTTCTTCAGATTTGAATGGGACATCTTTTTTGGCGAGAATGAAAAACAAGTCTACATTATCAACTTTATTGTATTAAAAACAACAAGTCTACATTAAAAACTTGTAAAAAATTAACCAAATTTTCTAAGTTTGAAAATGGAAATTTACTTTACCTATTAATAAATTTTATAAATACTATATTTAAGATAAGCAAGCCGTTTTACAAATATCTTCTACAAATTTTTCCAATCTCTATTATTGTTTATACCTAATAGAAATAAAATTAATGTTTGCAAAAATTTGAAATTAATATTGAACGGCTGTAAAGAGAGGGTTTCAAAAAAATGGGCTTTATATAATTTAATTTTGTTGCAGTTCAAGGCAGGACATTATAAGTCTTCAAATCAAGGTATATATGAATTTATGGTTAAGACAATGATATCGAGAACATAATTCGAAGTGTGGGTTCTATATCTTTTTCGCCTCCCCAAAACATATGCAGAGATATTAAAATATTAGAATTTATGCTTGAGGTATATTTGGTGCTTTTCTCGGAGTGGCGCCTGGGGCTTAACAAACCACTTTCTTCTCTCTTGCTAGGTCAGAAATTTCATATCTTAATTAATAGTTAAAATATGGGATCGAGGTAAAAAAATAAATGCTTAATGCTCTATTTTTTTACAATGTCTTGAGTTTATTTGTATTCCTGTGATTTTTTTTCAGATCCCAATAATATAAATATTAATATATTTAAAATTTTATGTATTTGATAATTAATGGCAAAATTTTGTCACATTAAATTTATCACTAAAGGGACCATTCATCTCTATTATCAGTTTTAGTTTAATCTCTCAGAATTTTTTGAATTAATATATTTTAATAGGGCGAAGGACTTAGTTGTCCAGTTTCTTATTCTTAGTTAACTTTAAAATTAATTTTAGTGTTAACTCACAAATAAAATAATAAAATATATTTTAATTTTTTTTTATTATTCATTTTCAATTCATATTCTTACTCAATTCAATCTTATTGGATTTGGTAATAAGTAATAAGATTTTTTTTCGTTTTATTTTGATAGATACTTCGTAATTTTGTGCTGTCACTATAAAAGTGTTGCCAATACATTGAATATATTTTATTGTGTCATTTCAAGCCATGGCAGTTCAAAATAACTTTTAATCAAAGCACACAAATCATGCATATATATTTTTTAAAATAATACTTATAGTAATTAGTAATTTTTGTTTATTTTATATGTATAAAATTTCTTCTTAATCATTTCTAATAAGATGAGAATAGGACCATACATCATTATAGTTTTAGCTCACATATAAGATAATATATTAATGATGAAGTTGGCAACAATGCCATGTAAGGCAATCAACGAAAATAGATAATTTCTTTTACTGTATCATACATTCTCCGCATATTCTAACTTTCTTTTTCGTGATTGCGTTGTTAAAAAGTTACATTGAACAGTTTTTTTCTTAATCGTATTAAATAACTAACAAAATATTACAAAATATTTAATTGCGATTAAATAGCATAAATAAATAAATAATTATCGACAAGGTGGGTTTTATATATGTGACTTGTATAACTTTCTCTATGTGAAAAAAATGCAATAAATAATATTTTTTAGTTATTGAAAATGGCAGAAATAGAAAATATTAAGACAGTCGACATTCCAAAAGGAAATTTAAGTTGTCCAAGCGAAGCTAGTGGTGGTGCAGCTGATTTAGGCACATCGCCGCCAACACAGGGTACAAGTAATTCTCATCCACATGATTCCGAATACGATACAGCAAGTGACTTGGAGGGTGGCGATGATTATGACGATGATGATGATATAGATGACGATGGTGATAGTGTGACTGATGAAGATGATATAGAAGACGACGAGGACGAAGATGATGAGTTTAATACATTACCGAGTACATCTAAAATCGATCCAGAAACTCAAAAAAAAGTAGACGAAGATCGCAGTAATCCTCAATATATACCGAAACGAGGTACGTTTTACGAACATGATGATCGTACTGCGGATGTTGTGGCTGATGGTACTTTAATAATTAGTGAAAGTGGTGAACAACAAAATGCTGTAGGTGCTGCAGGTGCCAAATCACCACAATCTCCAATTATAGAACAAGGTTCAAAGACATTAAAAAAATGGCAGCCAGCATCCGCTGTTGAACGTTGGTCTCATGATCGTTTCGATCAAGATGAGCAAGCGCCAAAAAGCCGTTCAGAATTAGTTTCTACTTATGGTTATGACATTCGTACAGAAGATGCTCCACCACGTGCTAGAAGACGTCGCCGCTATGGTCGAGGTCCAAGTAAATACTCCCGTAACTGGGAAGATGGAAACGCCTACCTTAAAGCAAGCAATAAAGAACGTAAACCGCCACGTCCATCAGATTTTCCAGCGCTAAATGAACGAAACAACAAGACTCAGAGGAAACCTAAAGTACGTGAAGAAAAGGAAAATAGGTTAAACAAACGTCAAAACGAAAGCGCTACTGAACTACTGAATCAAACTGATAAAAACAATTCGAAAGGACCACGTAACTTAAATACAGAGGATCGTAGAGATCGTGGGGATATTAAACAAAACAAAAGCCGAAATTATGGCAGACAAAATGTGAACAACGTTCGTCAGGCTCCAATGGAATTTAAACAGCAAAAGCAGAGAAATAGCCAAGGACATCAAGATCTGAATAACCGTAATGAAACTCATGTTGAAAGACAAATAAATCGCTCACAATCGAATGGCGCGAACAATGATATCATGAAAAGTGGTGGTAAACTCCAAAATAATGCTAAGTATCCGCAGTCACATCAGATTGATTACAATAACGTTAATAATAACAGCAATATAAATAAAACAAACGAAAACAGTTATCAACAAATACAACCCTCTCCACAACAAAAAACTCCAATAAGACAGTCATTACCAATCAAAACAGTACCAACTACACAACTACCACCTACCAATTTATCTCAGCGTTTACAGCAAGTACAGAATCGTAACGATCCAAGTCATGTTGGTAGTGTGCAAATGCATGCTTTAGCTACTCAAAACCAAATAGTAACACAGCAACAGCAGCAACAACAACAACAACAACAGCAAAACGCAAATATATTGGTGCCACAACAGAGCCAGCCTCAAGAGCAGCGTGGACCACCAAAAAGATACTCAAGCTTACGTCGTTCTCAGCATGAGGCCCAACATCTTGCTGATCAGCATCAACTTCAAATGCAATATCAGGCACAACAGCAACCACAAATGATGTTGCAAGATCAACATATGTTGCA